CTGCGCCTTGCTTTCGTGGCCTCTCGGGCCAACACTGCTGATGTCTTCACCAAGGCCCTTGGGGCTGGTGATCATCAGCGTTTCTGCACTGCTCTTGGGCTTGTGCCCACTCTGCCTCACCTGCTGGTTGCTTGACTTGCTCTTGTTATACACTGCTATATATATCTTTATACCTGCATGTTTACTGCCTTGCTATTATAAATCTGCATGTGAACTGGCCTTGTGGCCGCCTGCTTGTGCTCAGATTGTGTGGTGTCCTTGAGATCCACCCTGGGCTTTGCCTTGCTTGTTCTGTTGCTTGACTGGTCTTGTGACCACTGTTAGGTTTGGCTATCCCCTACTTCACCTATGGGGGTGTGTCAAAACATATTGTTATGTTCTTACTCTAGGTTGTGTAGGGTCACACCTTAGAGGGTACAACCCAACTCCCTCGACACTCTTGTACCCCCTCTCCCTCACCTAATCGTCATTCCTCACCTAGCTACTAGTGATTCTAACATGAATGGCTCTGGAATTTGTTCATGGATAGCCGCTACGCAAAGACAAGCATGACTTGACATGATGTCAAACCAGTTGTAGCACACACTGGCTGCAGCACACACCGGCTGTAGCACACACCGACTGTAGCGCACACCGACTGTAGCACACACCGACTGTAGCGCACACCGACTGTAGCACACACCGACTGTAGCACACACCGACTGTAGCACACATCGGCTGTAGCACACATCGGCTGAAGCACACATCGGCTGTAGCACACATCGGCTGCAGCGCACACATCAGCCCTTAACGAGATGCGCAGTTGCAATGGTATGCACGAACGTGGAAACAATTCAGCTATTACTGCTACCAGTGTTTGCAGCGCGCACGAATTACACAGTCACCGTGTTATAATAAAAGTGTTTTGAGACGTCTCAAAATACTGCTACCAGTGTTTTCAGCGCGCACGGATAACACAGTCACCGTGTTTTGACACGGACCTGCTGATCTGCTGTACGTTTGCCACTTTAGATCTGTCCGCCGTTACTAGAACAGACGGCTAGTCTTTGAAAGCACTTACAGATTGTCTTTCCCTTCCAAACCAGGGGCTTGGCCTGAGCGGTTGAAGCGGCAGAAGAGCCGCCGTCGTGAGAGAGGAGCGGCGCGAATGATGTGGCGGACGCCGCGCCGTAGGCAGTGCAGACCGTCGCACCTGCAAGCAGCACGCCGATTTGAGACTTAGGTACGTGACGAAACTACCTCTAGGTTACTATCCGACCGGGATTGTAAACAGCCGCAGTCAATAACTCACGCAGCGCCTTTTAATTTACGTCTAGAAAACCGAGATTTGTAGATGGTAGTCGCAGTCAATGAGGTTTTTCATCAGAAACAGAGGCAGTAGGCCGCAGCAGCGCGCTCGACTCCAAAGGGCTTACAGAGCAGCAGGCGGCAAATGAGAGATGATCCGTGGCGCTCCATGCTGATCGCAATGCGTCGTCGGATTGGCTTGGCAGTAGTACTAGTAGTAGTACCAACAGAATAAGGTCGTTGGTATCTTTGCGGATGGTGATTTGGCACATACTAAGCCAAATGTGTGAAGCTAATCAGCCATGAAGAGAGGCGAGGTGATAAACTTGACTCTAGTAGGTACCCCCCTGCCGTCATCGAGCGATATATTCTCCGTCATAGCTTTCCACTAAAATAAAACACCACCACTTTCCGTCCCTATCGCTACGATAACCGCGACGGTCGCTCGCGTTTTCCCGCATGCGGCTGATATTCGTCGCACGTCGCGCGACGACTTCGCGGGTCGATGGTCGCCGACCTTCGCTCGTCAACTGTCGTTCACCGCTCGTCCTCCGTCACGCGCCGCGCGCCGCACGTCGTTCGTCGCTCGTCGCTTGTCGTCGCTCGACTTTGTCGCCATCGCTCATGTTGCAAACTGTAGTCTTCATTCCCAAGCAGCGAATTTGGTACACAGCCGCTCTGTTCTGTCGAACGAGGCGCGCGGCGAGGGGGAAACGTCTGCTGTACGAAAAAGAATGTTCTTGACCAGCTCAACAGTGAGACATACTAGGCAGGGAGGTGGGAGCCTAAGTACGCTTCACTGTTGAGTATGCTTGGGTAACGGGTGTAAGATGCTCCCTGGGATATCTGGGATATACAATATGATTCCAACAATTTCACACTACAATTTCTATGAGAAGCGTCGCTGTCTTCCCTTTCACATGCTCACTGTGAAACGGAGACCCTTGGATGCCATAGTTCATCCCCACTTCTGCGTGCTTAATATGTGATGATATTATGTGATGCTTAATATGTGCAATGCTTAAAAGGAAAGAATGCTCCTATTCAGGTAAAAATTATGTGATTTCAATATAAAACATGAAGATTATCCAAAATAATCAGCATACAGACATCACCACCTCGACTACCATGCCACATTTGTAAGGTGAAAAATTCAAATGTCAATAGCTGGAATTATGACCCTATAACGGCACTTCACTATAATGATAGATTGGGCCTCGATATCCTAACCAGAAATATCGGTCCCTCGTGGCATCTGTGCTGCCCTCCCAGTCAGCGCCGTGATTCCTGCCATAGATTTGTGCCAGACCAAGCGAGGGAGTGACGTGGCAAAGATCACACCAAATCTGGCAGTCTAGATGTCGCTGCCCCGAAATCAGCTCGGCTGACCTCAATTACACATGAACCACCTTTTCTAAAGCTGTCAATCCCTTTCTCTCCCACAAATCTCTCTTTTCACATCTGCTTCCTCAACCATTCCTTTTACAGGAATCCCTTACCAATGTTGAATCTAGATTCTAACGTTTTCAGTTCATGGCGTAGACTCTCCTCTCGGCATCAAGCCTGCCGGTGGATGTCTGTCGGGACTTGCAATTAGCTGCTTAGACCCACGTGAAGGTCTTTTGACAGCAATTAAGAGGAGCCACACGCTGACTCACTCGCTCTAGACTGCGAAAAGGCAAAATTGCGCGACGCGCCGGCGAGCGAACTTTTCTCAATCCCATCGACCTAGCTCGCACCGCAGGTAGGGCGACCGAACCTCGTCCAAATGGGTCGACCTACGTGCGCTTTCACGTTATTTTCATGCTGCGGACGAGTTATATCGACGTTACAGGTGCCATTTGGTTTTACGGCCAGAATCGCGGGATTACAGCTTGGGGTTTCGATCCTTTCATAAAAGACAAATTTTGCGACGTGTTACGTCACTTCAGTCTGGTCACGCAGACAAGGCTTGTCTTATGCTGTTTTTGTTTGGTCTGGTTTTTTATACGGTGTAAAACGAACTAAACCCCGTAGGGAGCCAGGCACACTTTCAATGCATCAACCCTAAACACCTTGACAGTTCCCGTGTTTAGGGTTGATCCCTCCCGAATTGCACCACATTCAAGGCATTAACCATAAACACAATGCTTCCCGTGTTTAGGGTTGATGCCTCCCAAATTGCGTTCCTGCCTTTAGGGGTTTATTTTTTTTTTCAGCCCCTGCTTAGATTCAGAGCTCCGTAGATGTTTCAGAAATTTGAGATTGACACGCGGCAAAAAAAAAACATGTAGACAAAAAACGTGCGCCACCAAAAACAGACAAAACAACCGAACTTGTAAGGTCACGGAAATGTAGCTACAATTGCGACCTTGTTTTTACGAAAACACGAAAACCACCTGGCAAACATTATCCTAAGCGAAACAGTGACAATTAGGAAGACCACCAATTCTTACACATTAAATTGGTTGTCAATATCACGTAAGCGCATGTAGGTCGACCCATTTGGACGAGGTTCGGTCGCCCTACCTGCGGTGCGAGCTTGGTCGATGGGATTGAGAGAAGTTCGGGCGCCGGCGCGTCGCGCAATTTTGCCCTGCGAAAAATCTTCCACATCCAGATCCTAGGTTGCTGCCGATATCATATGCTTGCGAGTTTACTGTACAAGAGGCTAGAAATCTCCGCTCGAGCGCACCCGCGATGGCTGACGATCCTCCTTCCACCAAGAAGCCTGGTATTTTTGGACGGCGAACAAGCATGGTGGTGGGTTTGCGCAATACTGTACGCACTGTTGGCGACTACGGAAGTTGGATTGGATGATGACTCAGCTGAGACACGGCGGAGTACTGTAGTGCGAGCTCGTTATGGGGAGGGGGACTCGCTTTCCTCCCGCAACCCACCTGCTATGGGAAGAGAAGATCTTTTCTCTCTCGCTCATGCATCAGACGGGGCGGAGAAGCTCTTCACACTCGTTTCCCTTCTCACAGACGACGGGAGAATCCGGAATACGCTAGATTGCGTCACGTGCTCCCGGCTAGATCTTCCCCGCCTCAGCCGATCGGACGAGATAGCGGCATCCGATGTTATAATGACTTACATCGCTACTACGTGTGCCGTACCCCAACCACACTCACCATCTCGCGACGGAACGGAAGTGACCTCGCATCTCCGCCTCTCTCCTCGTCTCTCGTCTCTCCCAATGGATATCTCCTTCGGGATTTCTCCCCCCTCCGATATCTCCACTGGATATCACCCCCTCCTCCGCGAGTCCCCCAGAGAATTTTTAGACCCCAGGCGGAGTCCCCGTTTCGCCGCTCTGCCGCCTGGCCGCGTCCCCCCCGCAGCTGCTTGCACGCTCTGCCGCGCACTATTCCTGCACTTCGGTCCTTCTGCTCACACGGACGGTCACCTGCAGCAATGGCCCGTTGCTGCTCCGTTGCTGCTTCCTCAGGCGTTCCCCCCTTCCTCCTCCGCGGCAGAATCTGGGCCACGTCACATAAGCACGATAAGCGCGTGACATGGTTGCTGCGCAAGGCAGTTCTTCGATGATTTAGACTCCCGCCGCCTGAACCGGACAGGTAGTAATCGCAGTAGTCAGTGTGAAGCTTCGAGTGATTCTCCCGCGAAAGTTGGGTTGTACTCTGCGTTACCGTTGGTCTGAAGTCTGGGAATTTGCGGAAGCGATCGGCTTCATTCCCCCGCGTTCGTCGTTTCTTCGTTTTCCGCACGAAAACATGAGCCCAAGACCATCTTTATCTAAGGACCGCAGCCCGGAACCTCCGCGGTCGGCGGGAGTTGCGCCGACCTTCCCCCTGAAGCCCAGGAGCCCCGCGCGGGGAGGAAAGGAGCCCAAGAAGCGCAACGAGCGCGCGGGGAAGGGCTTCAAGGGCGGCCCGCAGAACGCGCTGTTCATGTTCCGCGGGGTTCGGCAGCGCAGCTGGGGGAAGTGGGTGGTGGATCCGCGAGCCGCGCAGCAAGCGCCGCCTGTGGCTGGGGTCGTTTCCGCGCGCGGCGGACGCCGCAATGGCGTATGACGTGGCGGCCAAGCGACTGTACGGTTCCGGCGCGAAGCTCAACTTTCATCAGGGAGCAAATGATGCAACTGTCGGTAGCGGCGGTGTCGCTTGCAGCAGCGGCAGCGGCGGCGGCCGTGGCGATCGTGCCAGTAGTCTTGAGGTCGTGGTTGGTGCTGACGTTGACGTTGACGTAGACGTTGACGTAGACGTTGGCAGTGATTGCAAGTCAGGCGAAAGCTGCGAGGCGACTGAGGTTACCACGAGTGGCGGGGAAGGAGCGACCGAGTCAATGGAGTGTGAAAACGACAACAGCAACAACGATGACCCGAGCATACACGGGTCTAGGGTTAACTTCTACGAAGGCCTCCAAGCAAAATCGCCTCAAATCTGCTCTGTTCTACCAGTTGATGCTGCCCCTGCCTCTGACCCTTCCAATGCACCTGCCTCTGGTGTTAACCGTGCTGCTGCTGCCGCCGCCTCTGGTTTTAACCGTGCTGTGCAACCTTCGATTGATGCTGCTACTCTCGCATCAATGTTAGACAGCTCACTGCTAACGACCCCATGGCTCCCAAATATGGCACCGACTGCTGGGACGACACACGACATGACACGTGTATCTCACACCTCCTCCCCATGGCTTAACACACACATGGCCCCGATTTTCGAGACGCCTCGAAACTCGTTCCTATGGCCGCCGCACGTGGCATCACCAACAGTACCATCTTCTACACCATCATACAGTTCACCATCTATACCTTCATCTACAACACCATGCATAACACCATCTATACCATCATCCATACCATCATGCTCACCATCATCCATACCATTAACCGTGTCACACATGTGGACAGGCACACCATCCCAAATGGCATCCACCATTCTTGAACCCAATCCTGCTTCTCTTCTTGCGTCTCATCGCAGCACCCTTTCAATGCCTCGCCCCAGTCCTCCTCCCATCCGTGGTTCTCTCAGCACCCCCCTCTCATTCCCACCACCTTCCCGCTTCACCTTCCCACAGCCACAGAACCAGCGCCAAAGGCTCATGCAGACGCTACAGCACCCTCAGGTGTTATCCCAGGTGCCACAGTCACCACAGGCGCTACAGCACCCGCAACTGCTGTCTCATGCGCTGCAACAGCCGCAGGTGCTCTCCCATGCTCTGCAGCAACAACTGCAGGCGCTACAGCAGCACTCACCCGCGCTACAGCACCCTCAGTCGCTACAGCAATCACAGGCGCTTCAACACTCTCAGGTGTTTTTACAAGCGCTGCAACAGCCACAGGTGCTCCAACATACGCTACAGCAGCCAGAGTTTCTGTCACCACCGCTACAACCGCCACAGTCGTCAATGTGTGTGCTACAGCCGTCCACTGAAATGGCTGGACTCACGGGAAGCGGAGGTGGGGCACTCCAAGATCCGCTCCACTCTATGCTGCCAACACAGCCGCTACAGCCGCTACAGCTGCCACAGCTGCTGCCACGGCCGCTGGCACAGGTGATACTACAGCCGCCCCAGTCACAGGCACATGCGCTACAGCCGTCACAGCTGCTGACAGAGGCGCCACTACTGTCTCGATTGCAGGAACGTCCCACGCTACAGCCGCCACAGACGCTACAGCCGCCACAGGCGCTACAACTACCACAGCTGCCGGCTCAGGTGCCATTTCCGCCCCTGGGTTTGCCGATATCGCCCGGCCTTCAGGACATGCTGATTGGCCGAGAGATTGCACGCCTGTTGGGGGAACCCACCGACGGAAAGCAGAGTAGGGCGTCAAGGGACGGCTGGCCTGTTACTGGGTGGTTCTTCTACAGTCCGGTTTGAAGGCAATTCGGACTTGCTGCTGCCTGGTTACCTAGGTTCAGTCGGGCCAGTGAGGCCAGTGAGGTTTAGCGATGGGAGACAGCAGCAGCTGGAAGGGATGGGGATGCAAGCAGGTGCAGGCCGGCAGGAGGTGGTTGGGGAGCGTGAATCGTTGCTGAGGGAACATGAGATGCTTCTAAGGGAGCATGAGAGGAAGGTGATGCAAGAGGAGCTGCTGCTGCAGGAAACCGCAAGCCATGAGACGATCTTTCCTGCGGCTCAAAACGTGCACGGAGCAGCAAGCCTACAGGAGATCTTGAGGGAGCATGAGATGAAGGTGGTTCAAGAGGTGATGCTGCTGCAGGAAACCCGGCTGCTGTCACAGCAGGCCTCTGCCTCGTTGTTTGAGGCGCCTCAGAGTCATAGGCAGGCCTCTGCCTTGTCCCCAGCCCTGCCCCAGGGAAATCCAGACAGGCCGTACAGGCTCAGGTTCGGCACTCCCGAACCTGCCAGTGGGGTGCGTAACGAGGTGGTGGGTGGGAGCAACTGCAGTGTAGGACGCAGCAATAGTGATGGCAGGCTCAGATATATGAGTAGCAGGGGCAGCAGCTGCAGCGGTGGCAGCAAGAAAAGCAGCAGCACCACTATTACCACCTCCTCCTCTAGGATGACTCACGGACTGTCTATACCACCTGTGCCTCCTGTATCGGCCGCCCCGCCTTTGCCTCCAATGGTTGCCAATTCCGCTCTGGCCGATGCAGCTTTCACGCGATCCGGTCTGCATATGCCAAGCAGCAGTTGTGAGAACTCTCAGCTGGCTTCTGCAGGGATCATTTCACACAGTCATTTAGCTGGTTTCCACACCGTTTATCCACCCACAAACCAGTGCGCTTCACCTGATACTCATGATCTCCAGCCTTCTACCCTGCGGCACCAAGCAGCAGCAGTGGCAGCGGCAGCGGCAGCAGCCGCAGCGGGTTTATGCATGCCAGAACCAGCAGCCGAAGCAGCTGTCAAAACCGCAGCAGAAGTAGGTGCTTTGATGGGAACAGGGGCGGTAAGACTGTCAACAGCAGAAGCAGCAGTGGCAGAAGTAGCGGAAGCTGAAGCACCGGGGGAGTACGGGGATCGGATGCTGTTGTATATGGAAGAGTGGAGAGATACAGGCACTGGTGGTGCTCCATGGGAGTGTGGTGGCGGCTCTGAGTGGGGCTAACGTATTGTGCGAGGCGTGGCAAGAAGCTGACTTGAGTGTACAATGTACATATATCCCTGTTGACAAGTCAAAACTACGTTTATGATGTGGTGTAGGATCGCTTTGTGCGCACTAGTGCCAAGTTTTGAAGCTTCCAAGAAGATGGAATTGTCTTTATTGGGCCGCCTTGGTGCGTTCCAGTGTGTTCCAAGGCGTTCCAGTGCATTCCAGTGCGCGACAGTGCATCCCACTGCGTGCCAGCGCTGAACTGGTGCGCATGCCTTGCCCTGGTGCGAGGCAGCTCTCGCACCAACTCATGAAGCTCTCTGGTCTTGGTCCATCTGCACAGCATCGCACGATGAGCCTGGAAACATCGCCATTTCGCCCACCCTGTCTGAGTCGCATCAACTCGCCCGACGGAAGGCGAAGGTGCTTTCTGGATACATGGAATTTCATGCAAGATTCGTGTTGATCCGCATGGCTGGCTTGAACTGGCATCCGTTAGTGCAATGCGATGTGCTACCTTTCCAAGCTCTGCATCATGAGTACTATACTATTTTGTTGTCATTGTTGGTGATATCAATGCACTTAAGGTCATGCGTCACGAGTTTCTGAAATGAGTCAAGCCCCAAGGTGACCCACTAGACGAGCAAGAAAAAGCTGAGATATGTTGGGATGATATTCAAAACCTTTCTTCATAAGGTTCCTCATCAAACGGACTGAATTGAGCCAATGCTTTTCGCCTGCCTCGCCGCCACCTTCGCCGAGGACATGGTGGTAACACTCTCAAAACATCTGACACAGGGATGGACGACAGCATGATAGGGAGGGCGACCTTTTTCCGTCCAATCCAATTCCAATCAGACACTGCCAATGACGTAAGCCTCCGCTCATCCTCCTCGTCGTTCGTTCCTTGTTTCAGGTTAGCTATTCCAAAATGGTTCAGCCATGGCACAGAGCGGGCTGCGGGAACCGTACAGCCAACAGACTTGAGGACTTTGCTCCGCTCCACCACACTCCGTCGAGGCGAGAACATGATGGTCGTCCGTACACATGCCGCACATGGAATAGCTGGACTAGACACGTGTAGACTCTTAGACGCTGGCTTGGAGACAGGCCCCAATCCACGGCTGACGGTGCACGAAAAATATCCCCCAAAGCACGCGGTAGTTTGTCCGTACAGTAGTAGGTGGTGTGGTTTCGGAACGGTGCGGTCGGTGCGGTGCGTTATCTTGGTGCGACTTCCCGATTGAGAGTTTTTTTTTGGGTCCTTATGCGTTTTGAACTTCTGTAGGCCCAAAATTATTCCGCCGGCTTAGCCTGATTAAAATCAGGTCACTAGAAAAGAGATTTTGTCATAGGATACTCTTCGCGTCGTACGGGTCCCACGGACCGGCCAAGCTGCGACCAATCCGGTTTCCCGGTTGAATCAACGTGTCTTCCTTATGGGGTACTGTACAGGCAGACACTTCCGCTCGCCGGTGCGGTTCGATATGCTGTGTGGCACATCGCCCGTAAAACCACTTCGCGAACCCCAACTCCATATTTTCACACATTTGCCAGTTTCGCTCGGAAACCACCATCCGCAAATGTCTCGTGACTGACTCGTTATTTTTAGAGTACGACCGAGAGCCTCGACTATTCTTAGTACCACTACCGGGAGCTAAGCCAAGAAGAAAGCCTTTGCGAGTGTTAATCTCATGGAGCGCCGTGCATCGTCTCTTTTCTGCCTCCTGCTTCTCTGTAAGCCCTGCTACCATGGTTTATCACGTGCGGCTGCGGGCTTTACCATCATAAAAAACAGTACTGTCAGATCTCCTATCGAATATCCCAGAGGCGGTATCGATGTCGTTAAACAGTCGCGCCTCACGTCACAGTGCGTTGATTCTCGAACCATATGTGCCACCTGCCTGCAGGTGCGGCGGCCTGCACTGCCTACAGCGCCGCGTCTGCTACACCGTCGCTCGATCCGCTCTCCTCTCACGACGGCGGCGCCTCTGCTCTCGCTGTCGCTCACGCCAGGAAACCTTTGAAGGGGAAGACGATACGTAAGTGTCAGTAGAGTAGACTCTACTACAGGCTGCTGCTGTCGGCGGTATACTTAGCTGACATGATTTTTTAATTTCATTATATATATTTTTAAGGCGCTTCAGAATATTCTGCTGCTGACGGTAGTCAAAAGAAAACATGATTTTCTTTTCTCAAAGTTGTCATCGCCGTGCGCGAAGAAACACACGCGAAGAAACACACGAGAAGGAACATGCGCAACCGGTGACACTAATCACTAGTACATGAATAACCGGTGGCATGCAGTCCCGTCAGTGGCTGAAATGTGTGCTGCCGTGTGCTACAGCTGATGTGAGTGCTGCAGTCTACTAATTTGTGCTGGAGGCTACAGTTGAGTTGCGTGCTGCAGTTGGTGTCATGTTCTGAATGCTAGCTCATAATTATGATGTAAAGGCGCACCCATTCTTTGTTCAGCAGCGATCTACTGTTGAGTTCCGGCGTTCACTTCCCCAGCTTCCCAATCCTTCACATTCCCCTTATGTCTGCCAGTCGAAACTCAATAGTTACTAACTTTTCCGTTTTCCTGACCTGATCCCACCCATTCCTGATGTTTTTAGTGAAATACGTGATCAAACTACGTCCTACCAAGCGCAACGGGAAAGTAATTGGGGACGCAGGAGCTTCGGGGAGAATGATGATGAAGGCGGTCGAGTATGTCCCTGTTCCCTTGTTCGCTTGACTTGACTTTTGAGCCGACCGAAAAGGAAAAGGATGATGAGAGTGGTTTGAGTATGTCCCTTCTCATTCACTTGTCTCCGCATTCACTTGTTCCCTCGTTCGCTAGTTCCCTCGTTCGCTTGTTCCCTCGTTCGCTTGTTCCCTCGTTCGCTTGTCCCATCATCACTTCTCCCACTGATGCTGACACGAGTCTTATAAAAGCACAATGACTGTGCAAGAACAGCCACTCAGTTTTCTTGCAAGTTCTGAACAGGTGTGGTGGAGGGGAGCATCTGGTGCTGTCATGGCACCAGCAGTAATACTATTAATACTACCCTTTAAGAGGGAGATGCAGCTGTGCTTTCTGAAGGAGCATCATGCACAGTACCATGATGCATCATGGCTCTCCATGAGTGCATGGCGTATATTCTTAATCCCTCCAACTACCGTCTCTCCTTCCCCGCTTGGCAGATACACTTCGAAATCGTACTTGGTATCTTTCAAGTTCCTATACTTGAACCTCAAATCAGGAAAAGATATGCCCGACTTGGGTTTTGGACCTTCCTGCTTCACAGCAACCACGGCAAATTTCGCCGCGTTTAACATCACAACTGAAAAGCTTGCGCGCCGCAAGCGTTACAACTTCGAATACAGCGAGGTGGTTTGGTCTGAATCGGAAACCGCTGCCCGCGGAAATCTTAACTTTCGGGTGACGGCTCCATATGCAGTTGTAAAAACTGCAGGTAACGCGTACGCGCTCTGTGGGAAGGTTATGACCAAGGTGAAATAAATGAATTAGTGATCAAGGTTTGAATCTTCAGGCGGTGTTGTGATGCATGTGAATGCATGTAATTGATTTTTAGCAGCAAGTGCCCTGCACCTGCTGTAAAAGCCCTGCTTGTCCTGGCAAGTGTAAGCTAAGCTCTCAATCTTACAGTAACAGCCATAGCACAGGTGGAGCAGCATGACAAGCGGAAGAGCAAGCAGAGCTGCACAGCTTTCTGGGTCCCGAGGACCGCACGGTGTGGAAAAGAATGACTTGTTTGAGCCTGTTTGCATGGCTTCTCTAAAGGAAACTGGAACAGGAAAATGGAATTGGAGTTCAATTGTGTTAACTGAATTGCGCTGATCAATATTCTTTGTTCAACAATTTGCATAGCACCCAAGACGGACCCTGCCACAGTGCTGTCGCTAGAGCAATCAAAGAGCTGGAAATTACGAGGAGCAGATGAGCAGGCAGAGTGGTGCCAGTGGTAGACCTATCTAGGTCCCCATGAGCACATGGTGCCAAGGGGAATGGCGTTTAAGCCTGACTGCATAGCTCCCCAGTGCCCAAGGACCCTGTAGCAGCTCTGCCACTCGAGCAATCAGAGTGCTTGGAATACAGGAAAGGAGCTGTTGAGCAGAGCAGACAGAGCGGTAGCGGTAGGCACCCAAAGTAGTCGAGCTATCTTGGTCCCCAGGATCGCATGGTGCCGAGGGGAATGACGTTTGAGCCTGATTGCATGGCTCCCCTGTGCCCTCCATGGCCCCTGTCCCTGAATCCTGATGAGAGGCAGCACAGCACAAGGAGCAAAGGACAAGACATGAAAGAAACAAAAACAGAGATGAGCTGTCATTTCCATGCCATCGCGCTAATCTCAGGGCCAGCGAGGCTCCAAGGTAATGGCAGATAGAAGGTGATTTTTGAGTCGACTCAATAGGTGACATGCCATTGTAACGAGGTGACTTTTGAGTCGACTCAAACGGCTCCGAGGTAAGGGCAGATGGAAGGAGTGAAATTGGTGGAGGGAGGCAGAGGGGTGCGGAGTCGACTTTGGGAGACAGCAGAAATGGAGGCACGGGGCAGCATACATGGACTTTTCCCACCCCATGCACACACCTCCCCTACCCCTCATGCCCCTCGCACCCATACACGCACCTCCCTATCCCCCCTCAAACATGCACCTCCCCTCCCCCCCCTTCAAACGCGCACCTCCCCCGCCCCTCATGCTGCCCGCACTCATACCCAGAGCAGCGAGCGCAGGTGGCACGACTTGATTGGCCTCCGTGAGGATCTGAATAAGATCTTTCGCCAGCCTGGCACTGGCTGCCGTGAAGAAGGAAAGGAGAAGCCCGTCGCCCCCGCCCTGCCCCAGCCCTCATGCACGCACCTCCCCCACCCCCCATGCGCCTCGCAAGCCCTCAATCACACACCCCCCACACCCCTCATGCCCCACCCGTCACACACGCACCTCCGCCCCCCCTCATGCTGCCCGCACTCATCCCCAGAGCAGCGAGCGCAGGTGGCACGACTTGATTGGCCTCCGTGAGGATCTTGATGAGATCTTTCGCCAGCCTGGCATTGCCGGCCGTGAAGAAGGAGAAGGAGAACCCCGTCGCCCCCGCCCTGCCCGTGCGCCCGATGCGATGCACGTAGTCCTCGCATGTGGAGGGGAAGTCGTAGTTTATCACACACTTGATGTCCTTCACGTCTGGAAGGGAGGGAAGCGGAGGACAGAGGAGAGACATGGTGCAGAAAGGGAGAAAGGGGAAAGGGCAATGAGGTGCGATGCATGTAGCCCTCGCACGTGCTGGGGAAGTCGTGGTTGATCACACACTTGATGTCCTTCACGTCTGGAGGGAGGGAAAGGGGAGTGAGAAGAGAGGGAGGGGGGCACAATGAGATGCGATGCACGGAGTCCTCGCACGAGCTGGGGAAGTCGTAGTTTATCACACACTTGATGTCCTTCACGTCTGGAAGAAACGGGAGAAGATGGAAGAGAGGGAAGGGCGAAAGGGGAAAGGGCAGTGAAGCGTGATGCACACAGCCCTCGCACGTGCTTGGGAAGTCGTAGTTTATTCTCACACACTTGATCTCCTTCACGTCTGGATGGAGGGAAGGAAGCAATGAAAGGGCGAAAGGAAAAGGAAGAGAGAGGCAGGGGAGGGGGAGGAGGGGAAGGGAGAGGGATGAGGGAGAGGGTGGGAGCGAAACGCCGGGCGATGCACCCTTGGCGCCATGTGGTGCCTTGAGAATAAAAAAAAAACAAACGATGCACATAGACTCTCCCCCTCGCATGTGCCCGAGAAGTCAAAGCTGGACAACTTTTGCCAGCCTGGCATTGGTGGCCGTGAAGACGGAAGCGGAGAAGCCCGTTGCTCCCGCCCTAACAGCGGAGCACTGATGATAACGATGAGACTTAGGGCAACAGAAATAAAGCTCAAGAATGCAATGGCGGTGTTATATCATTGAAATGAGATGGGACAACCAACCCATACTACATAGAAACACCATCCTTGACCTTGATCAATGGGGACTGCAATGCAGCATACGTGTGTGTCTTGTGGACAGCCCTTCGCCTGAGGTGCCACTGCTGCCTTGCCTTTCCTTCTCTCCCTGCCTCCATCGCAACACCACCAGCACACTTCCAACCAGCCAGCACCAGCCTTGTGCACTGCACGGCACCAGATGGCACCGCATGGCACCGCATGGCACCACTTGCCAGTACATGGCAGCACATGTGCACCGCACGGCACCACATGGCACCGCACAGCACCACATGGCACCGCACGGCACCGCATGGCATCACAGGACACAGCATGGCGCCAAGGACACCACATGGCACAGCATGGCACCGCATGGCACCACATGACACCACATGGCACCACATGGCATCACATGGCATCACATGGCCTCACATGGCACCCCATGGCACCACATGGCACCACATGGCCTCACATGGCACCACATGGCACCGCATGGCACCACATGGCACCACATGGCACCACATGGCACCACATGGCACCACATGGCCTCACATGGCACCACATGGCACCGCATGGCACCACATGGCACCACATGGCCTCACATGGCACCACATGGCACCATGGGGAGAGGAGCCATGCACCATGCGTCCAACACCACCAACACAGCCAGCTGCCACCAGAAGGCGGCTAGCTGGCAGGCAGGCCAGCAGCTGTTAGCTGCTGCTGCTTGTGGTGGTGGGGGGTGGTGTGTGTGAGGCTGGCACATCAGGCGGCTGTGGCAGTGGCAGTGGCAGTGGCAGTGGCAGTGGCAGTGGCAGTGGCAGTGGCGGTGAGAGGTGGGAGACGAGAGGCGGTGGAAAGGCAGCGAGCATGGGCCAGGCTTAGGGCTGCACACATGACACCCAGAGATATAGTACAGGGAAAGGGAGACGAACAGAAGGGAGGAAGGCGAAAGGGAGGAGTTTTAGCTGACCGGAAGGAAACACAGGAAACAAGGAGTAGGAGAAAAGAAAGTGAGGCGCGCACATAAAGAAGGAAAGGAATATGCACCACAAGGGCTGTGAGACAAAAACTATGCACGCACAGGACCTTACAAAAACTGAACCACAAACCCCAAACCTCCCCTTTCCCGGTGGCTGCCAGGACCCGGCAGAAACCCCAAACCTGAACCCAACCCCAACTTAAGACCAAACCCGAAGCCCTAAACCCGCCCCTTTATCCTTGCATCGATACCTAGCCCTCTGGCGGCAACGTCAGTGGCGATCATGATAAGGCTCTTGCCGGCAGCATAGACCCTATAAGCCCTGAACCCGAACCTTGGACCCAAAACCCTTCCACTCTCTACCTAGCCCTCTGGCAGCAACATCGGTGGCGATCATGATGGGGCTCTTGCCGGCTTTGAGCTCCGAGAGCACCCAGTCGCGCTCCGCCTGGCTCTTGTCCCCGTGGATGGAGAGGGCCCCAAAGCCCAACCCCCAAATCCTCACAACCCGAAAACCTGAAGCCCTATACCCTGCGGCCCTGTGAATACCTAGCCCTCTGGCAGCAACATCGGTGGCGATCATAATCGGGCTCTTGCCAGTCTTGAACTCCGACAGCACCCAGTCGCGCTCCGCCTGGCTCTTGTCGCCGTGGATGGAGAGCGCGGGCCAGCCGTCCATGCGCAGCTGCCGGGTCACCTGGTCGCACACGCGCTTCGTGTCCATGAACACCAGAATCTTGCTGCCGTCCATCACCTGCTCTAGGAGCTTCAGCAGCCTGCGAGGCGGGTAGCAGGGGCAAGGAGGGGCAAGCAGGGGCGAGGGTCAGCTGGCGGGTCACCTGGTCGCACACGCGCTTCGTGTCCATGAAGACTTTACATACCGACTTTACACCATTGGGTAACCGTCTAATTCTATTACTTAATTGACGTACCGGGGGTACTTCTCGTGGTCGCTCAAAATCTCCACCACCTGCGTAATTGAGTGGTTCGCCTTCAGCTCCGCGGAGCCAATCACAACCTGCCACGTGGATAGGCAGAGGGGATTTGAGCAGAACCAGTGAGAGTCGAGCAAGCAAGGGGAACGCGGGCATGAGGAGAGGGGGAGCGAGAGCGAGTGTCGCTTAGTCGTCACAGCATGTTACCAACCGTCACAGAATGTTACCAGTCGTCACAGAATGTTAACAACCGTCACAGAATGTTACCAGCCGTCACAGAATGTTACCAGCCGTCACAACATGTTACCAGCCGTCGCAGCATGTTACCAGCCGTCACAGCATGTTACCAGCCGTCACAGCATGTTACCAGCCGTCACAGCATGTTAGCAGTCGTCACAGCATGTTAGCAGCCGTCACAGCATGTTAGCAGCCGTCACAGCATGTTACCAGCCGTCACAGCATGTTACCAGCCATCACAAGTGCGCATTCTCGCACACAATCTTCAAACGTCCAAATGGAAGACGTCACAGCCTCTTCTTGCGATCAACTCATGTCGTACGGATCACCTCACCTTGTACGGACGGAACACCTCACCTCACGCGAGTCATCTCACCTCGTACGGGTCATCTCACTTCGTACGGATCATCTCAACTCGTACAGATCATCTCACCTCGTACGAATCATCTCACCTTGTACGTGTCAACCAGGAACTGCCTCGCGAGCGTCTCCACCTCCCTGGGCCACGTGGCACTCCAGTAGAGCGTCTGGCGATCAGGGCGAATCTGAGAGTAAAGAGACGGCAATTCGAGGGAATCGGGAAACGGGAGGAAATCAGGAAGAGGGGAGGAGACGCAGACACAGGCAGGAGGATAGCGAAGGAAACTAAGAAGAAACGGCGCCAGCGCATCATCGAAGAAAAAACAAGGATGGGTTGGAGGGGGGAGGAATGGCGGGTGGGGAGAGGGTTTCGTGATTACTGTGAAGGTTACCTGCGAGACGATTTTTCTGATCTGGGGTTCGAAGCCCATGTCGAGCATGCGATCCGCCTCGTCCAACACGAGGTACGTCACTCGGCGAAGGTTGGTAATCCGCGACTCCAGCATGTCGATCAAACGCCCTGGCGTCGCAATCACGATCTCTACGCCTGAGGCGTAGACGAAACAGAGAGGGATTAAGGGGAGAGGAGCGGGAAGAAGAGGGGTCAAAAAGTGAAGCGCGAAAGACGAGGAGCACGTTAGATCAGGTGCAGCGATTCCGACGCGCTTCAGCATACGCGCAACAGCCAACGATCAGCGCTAAACCAGCGCGCGACAGCCGTCGAGATACAGCCGACGCGCTACAGCAGACGCACTACTGCCCAGCAAGTAAAAAAGATACCAACCTTGATTGAGATCCCGTATTTGCGGGCCTTTAGGCGCGCCGCCATAGACGCAGGTGCTCTTGATCTTAGACGACGCGCCGAACTTGGTGCACTCCTCCTGAATCTGCACCGCCAGCTCTCGCGTCGGCGCGATCACCAGCACGATGGGTCCATCTCCGGGTGCTGCGTATCAAACAGGGATAGAAGGAGCAAGAAATAAAACAATCCTTTTGATCTTAGACGACGCGCTGAACTTGGTGCACTCCTTCTGAATCTGCACTGCGAGCTCTCGCGTCGGCGCGATCACCAGCACGATAGGGCCATCTCCGGGTGCTGCGGTGAGGAAAGAGATGGTTGATCAAGGCACGGGTTAGATTTGAGACGACTGAAACGACGAGTACGAAGCACCCGGGGGAGGACCCGAAGTAAAAAGGAAAGCTAATGAGAAAAACACGTCAGAATTTAGCAGAAGGAAAACGTAGGGCAGGGAGTCTACACAAGCCGTACCGAGGTAAGGCTGAGCGTTGACGTGAACAATAGCAGGAAGAAGGTAAGCCAAGGTCTTCCCAGACCCCGTTTCTGCTAGCCCGATCAGATCCCTCCCCTTTAGCGCCATGGGCCAACCCTGCGCCTGAATCGGCGTGGGCTCCTTAAATCCCGCGCGCTGCACCTCCACGAGCACGTAGTCGGGAAACGAAGCCTCTTCAAACGTGCGACACGGCTTGGGCACGCCGCGGCCCTCGACGGAGATCTGCCGGCGGCGACGGTACTCCTCGACCTCGCCCTCCGACATGGCCGTCACCGCTGGGTGCTCGACGTAAAAGTTCTTCTCGAAATGCGCAAGATTGTCGAAGGATTGCGGTGCTAGGGTGATTGCGTCCAGATCACGCTTGTTCCCGCCGTGAAACCCGCCTCCGCCGCCGCCGCCGTATCCGCCACCGCCGCCGTACCCGCCACCGCCGCCAGGGCGGTAGCTAGAGCCGCCGCCGCCATATCCCCCGCCGAAGTCGCTGCGATTACCAGGAGAATAACACGGACAGTAAGGAATAAGACAAATGAACGGGTAAGAACGAATCCAGCCGTGAAACCCTAAAATAAATAAGGACGGTATATTCACTATGGTAGTAAAGATAGATTACAGGTTTATGTAATGAAGTTACCTCTTTCGGTCCCTGTACGAGGATGAGTCTCCGTATCTGTTGTCGTAGTGGCTCATGTTTGCAGGTACGGATAAGAATAGGTACTAAGAGAAAAAAAGGCCTTAAAGACACAGCTAAAACAGGCGGAGAACACGAGAAGGGGCAAGGCCGAAAGGTTGCTGTAAATAATACTAGGATTGGACGTTTCTGGAGTGGGACAGAAGGGAGGATAGAGCAGGTAGAACGAATTCCGTGACAGGAGATTAGCGAGAGTCACGGAGAAAAAATGTCTTGTTTGAGCAGATCATCCGTATGTACCGAAAGAGTGGGTTGAAATGGCAAACCCTAGGTATGGTTTGCGTAAGACACGGGAAAAAGGAGATCTCGTCTGGAGGCCCCAGGTTGGAAGTGAGATCGCGTGGTTGAGAAGGCTTGGGTAGGTCCGCCAAGGTTTTTAGAGGAGTCTGGGAGGCTTGAAGAGGACATAGCGGCCTGGGTGAGTTGTTGCGACCTCTGCGACATTTCTCACGACGCGACGACGGCACCTCGATGTGGTTCGGGAACCTGATTGGTGCCCAGCAAGCACGACATTCGCGGCGGGCATACGAACCAAATAGGAGAGCAAGTAGACGAAACAAAACACAGCTCTAATGTAAGACGTCGAAGCTCATTAGAATAAAAACCATTAGTTTGGTAACACGCTACAAAAGTCTAGGCATTTCTGTGCCTTCTCCCCAGCCAGAATTTGAACGCTTTTATTTCCATGGGCTCGATGTGCTCGATCTTGCTCCTCCTTTCTCGAACGTCCGAGCCATTTCCACCCTTCCCCGAACCAGCACCACTTTCATTCCTTACTAGACTACTCCCATTCTTTCTGACTAAATTCAAAGGAAACTCCTCCACCCCCTCCACCAGCCTGTCTGAGAACAGCTGTTGCAGGGACACATCGCCAGAAGCTCGAGGGGGGCGACAGGAACGGCGCAGCTGCGGAGGAGGAGCGAAGCTGCGGTCAAAGCCTTGCCGATGCAGCAGCAGGGCAATCGGAGGCTCGGCAGAGGCCTGTGTGGCAGTGAGGAGGCATTTGAATGGTTTCAAAGTGAACTCAACAACTGGATTGAGGAATATGTATCTCTTGTAATGTAGACATATACTGTACACAAAAGAGAAGAGGATGGTCGTAACAAGCAGGGCCTTGTGCATGCACAGAGGCATTGAGCAAAGCAGAAAAGCGACTAAGCAGTATCACGATAGAAGGTCCAGTCTTTTAGGGCGTTGCGCACTCACAGAGGCGTTGGGCAGTGGGCGGTGGACTTTGAATGACACGATGTGCATGTCACAGGGCAGAGGCTCTGACAGGGGTGCGTACCCCCACTCCCACCCCCCCACCTTTGTCCCATCCTCCACCGAACCTATTCGCAAACCTCCTCCTCTGGTTTTCCCCAAGCCCTTCCCCGAACCTGCCTTCCGGCCCCCCCGTTGCTCCCACCTCCTGGTCCCCCCTCCTCCCACCTGCCCCTCCCTGGCCTGACCACCACCCCCCTTTTCCCTGCCCGAGCCGCCCTGCGCCACCAGTTCACGCAGAGCGGCAGAATTTTCGGGCTGCCCGACAAAAAGAACGGGCGGGTAGTTGAGCCGAGAGGAAACGCGGTGGGAGAGGAGGGAGGGCTTGAGAGGGGCGGAGGAGGAGGGGGAGGGGGGAGGGCGAGAGGAGGTGTTGGCTTCGAGGGAGAGGTGGAGGATGGAGAGCAGGGGGCGGTTGTCTGACACTCCCTGTGTGAGCCCCCTCCCATCGTCCTGGTTCAGCCGTCGATCCAACACCATCTCTAGCCAACCACTCTGGGGGGAGGGAGGGGTGTAGGAAGGGGGAGGGCGAGAGGAGGTGAGAGGAGGTGTTGGATTCGAGGGAGAGGTGGGGGAGGGAGAGCAGAGGGCGGTTGTCAGACACTCCCTGGGTAAGCCCTCTCCCATCATCCTGATTCAACCGTCTGTCCAACACCATCTCCAAACAGCCGCTATGGGAGAAAAAGCGGGGCGTGGGAGAGGGGGTTCAAAAACACGTGTGAGCCGACATGGAAGAGTTACGTTGTCGTGGTTCAGCCGTTGGTGCGATGCCCTCTCTTGAGGCGCCTCGCCTCAAAAGTCGTCTCCGATGCCCTCTCCAGCCACCTGCTCAGAGGGGGATGCGGGGAAATGGAGGAGGGAGGGAGGTGAAGGAGGGAGAGCAGGGGGCGGCTGTCAGACACTTTCTGGGTGAGCCCCCTCCCATTCTCTTGATTCAGTCGTCAATCCAACACCATCCCTAGCCAGGGGGGAGGGCGGAGAAAGAGTGTATACTCACCTTGAGAGACTGGCAGCGCGCATGGCCTGGCATGTGTGCACGGAGAAGCGCCGGCCCGAGGGGTCTTGCAGCAAGGCAAGGGCAGCACAACCCTCACACTCAACCACAACCCGCGCATACATGCACCCAACCATTCACCTCACACTCACCTCTACATCAGCTCGCTCACTCCCCTCACCTTGAGACTGGCAACACCCATGGCCTGCCCTGTGTTCACAAAGAAACGGAGTCCCGAGGGGTCTTGCTGGAAAGCAGGGCTAAAAAACCTTGGTGAAGGCACGTGTGTACCGGACCCCTCACCTTGAGTTGAAACTCACCCTGAGAAGGTGGGAAAGAGAAAGCTCACCTTGAGACTGGCAGCGCCCATGGCCTGGCGAGTGTGCGCAGAGAAGCGCAGGCCAGAGGGGTCTTGCAGGAAGGCGAGGGCGGGCATGGGGTAGAAGTTGCCCTGCAGAGGGATGCGAGCGAGTGTTTCCCTTCTGACCATCTGGAAGCCATTCAAGTCCGTGTGAAAGACGTTGCCAGACCTGAAGGGGTGGGGGGGGGGGGGGGGGGGGGGGAGGGGGTGCGGGGGTGAGGAGTGCAGTGCAGACAAGAGGTGGGTGGATGTGGGGGCGAGAGCGGGCATGAAGTAGAAGTTGCCTTGCAGGAGAATGCGGGCGAGTGCCTCCCTCCCTCCTCACCATTTGAAAGACGTGGGTGACAAGGTGGGAGAGCAGGTAGAAGACAATTCAAAACTGTACCTGATTCCGTTTCGGTACCTGATTCCGGTTCGGTACCGGACCACGAGCTCCTTGTTCCCGAGCCACATGCGGCTGGTGAGGTCCACCCGGTGCTGCACCTCCACCAGCAGAGCCTGCACCGAATGCACCCTGTACAGCCTCACCACCCGCACCACCGGCTCTGGTGCCCCCCTCCGCTGCTGCTGCTGGTAGTGGTAGTTTTGGGACTGCTGCTGCTGCTGGTTTTCATTATGGGACTGTTGTTGCTGCTGCTGCTCGAAACCATCGGGTGCATCGTCCTCCTCTGACTCTTCCGGCCCTTCAGCCTCACCAACTCCCATCGCAGCAGCAGCAGCTGCAGCAGAATCATCATCACCACCAGCAGCCCCATACCCTCCTCTCTGCCTGCGCCTCGCCTCAATCCACTCCCTCCTCTCCCTCGCCACACTCTCCCTCCACCTCTTCCCGGCCCCCATCCCCTCTCTTCCCGCCTCCCTCTCCCCACCCCTCTCCCGCTCCTCCCTATGCCCCTCAACCCCAAACAACGCATCCAGCCCCTCTTGACTAGCAGCATCAGCAGGCGAGAGCAGTGTGTAGTTGAAATCATCGTCTAACCACGGCGGCCGCCCCCCACCTTGCGTCCCCCGCACCCTCTGCATCCATCTCAACCGCTGCTTCCTCCGCTCCTCGCGCCGCTGCTCCGCTGCTGCACGTGCCGAGGCAAGGTCTGGTGAGGCAAGGTTCGGCGATCCGAGGTTCGGCGATCCGAGGTTCGGCGATCCAAGGTTCGGTGAGGCAGGATCTGCCGGGAGTTTTGCTCCTTCACCACTCTGCACCGCGGCGAACCGCTCGCCTTCTGACTCTTCTCGTTGCTGCGTGTGCTGAGTCTCCTTCCCCCCCTGTCCCTGCCCCTTGTCTTCCTCCCTCTGTGATTGCTCCAGCAGCTTCCCAAAAACTCGCTGCTGCTCCCCACTCAGCCACACCAACCCGTTCGCCGTTTCCTTCCCCTCAAAATGGCGTGGATGCAACACGTCCAGATCCTCCTCACTCACACCCTCACTCACTCCCTCACTCGCTCCCCCACTTGTTGCCTCCCTCGCTCCCTCTCTCGCTCCCCCACTCACTACCTCATTTGCTTTATCACTCGCTCCCTCACTCGCTTCCTCACTCGCTCTCTGCGTCTCCTCCTCCCCCTGTTCCTCCCTCTGTGAGTGCTCCAGCAACTTGCCAAACACACGCTGCTGCTCCCCAGTCAGAAACACCAACCCTCCCGCTGTTTCCTTCCCCTCAAAGTGCCGCGGATGCAATATGTCTAGCTCCTCCTCACTCACCCCCTCACTCTTCTCACTCGCTACCTCACTTGCTCCCTCACTAACTCCCTCGCCTGCTCCCTCACTCGCTCCTCCGCTCTTTCCATCGCTGGCTCCCTCACTCGCTCCCTCACTCGCTCCCTCACTCGTTCCCTCACTCGCTTCCTCACTCGCTCTCTGAATCTCCTCCTCTCCCCGTTCCTCCCTCTGTGAGTGCTCCAGCAGTCTTCCAAACACACGCTGCTGCTCGCCAGTCAGAAACACCAACCCTCCTGTTGTTTCCCTTCCCTCAAAATGCCGCGGATGCAATACGTCTAACTCCTCCTCACTCACCCCCTCACTCGTTCCCTCACTTGCTCCCTCACTCACTCCATCACTCGCTCTATCACTCGCACCCTCAATCGCTCCTTCACTCGCTCCCCTACTCGCCCCCTCACTCCCTCCCTCGCTCCCTCCCGCGCTCACTCTCTCACCCGCACCCTGACTCCCTCCCTCACTCACTCCTGCACTCGCTCTCTGAATCTCCTCCTCTCCCTGTTCCTCCCTCTGTGAGTGCTCCAGCAGTTTGCCAAACACACGCTGCTGCTCGCCAGTCAGAAACACCAGCCCTCCTGTTGTTTCCCTTCCCTCAAAATGCCGCGGATGCAATAAGTCTAACTCCTCCTCACTCACCCCCTCACTCCCTCTCTCGCTCACTCCCTCACTCGTTCCCTCACTCGCGCTCTCACCCACTCCCTCACTTGCTCCTTCCCTCACTCCCTTACTCTCTTCCTCACCCTCACCCTCTCCCAAGTTTGTTCTTTCACTCTCTCCCTCACTCATGCCCTCGCTAGCCCCCTCATTCTCACTCCCAGAAACTTCTAATCCATCCTCGCTATTGTCTGCTTCACTATCATTAACCAGCAGCTTACGCGCTGTAGCAGAAAAAGCTCCTTTCGCCACGTCTACAGCCCAACCCCCTTTCCTATCCCCTTCGGCCTCCCCATTCCCCTCCCCCTTCCCGTCCCCCACCCCCTCCCCCTCCCCCTGCCCTTCCCCTTTCGCCCAAGGGTCAACATCCTCAGCTTGCACCTCAGCCGTCCAATCATTCGGATGGGTGAATCTGAACCGTGTATGCACCTCCTCCACTAGCGGCCCTCTGCATACCAACGAGGTCGACCCTCCCTCCTCCCCCTTCACCATCCCATGCACACCACTTCCCCCCCGCTCCCCTTCAATTCTTCCGTATCCCTTCCCCCTCCTCTCCCCCCTAACTCTCCCAGAACCCATCCCCCCTCTCTCCTCCTCCCTGTCTCCCCCATGCCCACTCCCGCTCCTCTCCCCGTGCCTTTGCTTTTTCTTTTCCGTGCTCCTGCTGCTACCCGCACGCTGCTGCTCCTTCACTATAGGAACGGCAGTGCCATGTGGCAGAAAAAGATAGGCTCCCCCTGAGCTGGCATAGAGGGCGAATTGCTCACTGACTGGCAGAGGGGCTCGCATGTGGGGCAGCTGGAGGGGAGGGACGGGGAAAGGGGGCGAGATGGAGTGGCAGAGGGGATGAGGTTTGAGTCGTGTTTTGAGTCGACTCAAAACACGACTCATTACACGCGGATGCGGAACAAAGAGATAGGCTCCCCCTGAGCTGGCATAGAGGGCGAATTGCTCGCTGACTGGCAGAGGGGCTCGCATGTGGGGGAGCTGGGGTGAGGGGGAAGGTGGGAAGGAAGAGGCGGGATAGGGAGATGAGGTGGAGGAATGAGAAGAGGGGAGGGGGAACAATTGAGTGAAATGGACCTCGTGGTAGAAAGAGCAGCATGTGAAGCGGAACAGGCATGCAATTTCACGTGCATGCAAGCAGTGTCACACATATGCAAGCAAACACATGGTTGCATGGCAGCAGCAGCACCATCACCACCACCACCACCACCACCACCACCACCACCAGCAGCAGCAGCAGCAGCAGCAGCAGCAGCAGCAGCAGCAGCGGCGGCGGCGGCGGCGGCACCGGCGGCGGCGGCGGCGGCGGCGGCGGCGGCGGCGGCGGCGGCGGCGGCGGCGGCGGCGGCGGCGGCAGCAGCAGCAGCAGCAGCAGCAGCAGCAGCAGCGGCAGCAGCAGCAGCTTACCTGTATCCCCTTTATTAGCCCGTCCATGCGACCCAAATCCACTCGATAGTTGCCGTTTGATATGGAAAATGTGTCCTCATTTCCCCCAGTGCCAGCAGCACCAGCGCCACCACCAGCACCAGCAGCAGCACCAGCACCAACACCATCACCAGCAGCAGCACCCCCCTCCCTTCCTCGAGGTCCCTCCTCCCCTCCCCCCACCATCGCACACACATATGGCTCGGGACACACAAACTCCCGTGGGGGATTAAACACCACAATGGTCGACAGCACAGGCGCAGGGCAGGCAGGCACAGCAGCGTGGGGTGCTATGAAATAGGTGGACAGGCCTAGGGGCGGCACGGAAGCTTCCCAGAAAAGACGGTGCCGGCCGGAGGACGGGGTTAGGCTCATGTTGCCTTTGGACCAGTCGGGCAGCAGCTGCCCAGGGAGACACTTTCTGTGCTGCCCGATGACTGCAACGGCTGGAGATTTGACGAGGACTGAAATGATCTGCGGTTGAGGGAAGAGGGGCCAGCGAGAAAGAAACGAGGGAAAGAGAGTGGGAGATAGAACGAAACAAAGCCGAGAGGAGGAATCAATTTAACGAGATGGGAAAGCTTGAATCAAATTCTTGCACTTCATTGATTGATAGAGTGCAACTTTTACATTTAATGTGATTTAAATCGGCCCAGTGCCTAATCTCACTCACCTCCCTCCTCTCCTCCTCCAAGGGATTGAACACCACCACTCTCCTTGCTCCTGCCCCTTCTTCCCCCTCCACACCGCTCCCCACCACTCTCCGCTCCCAAGGACCGTCATGCACCGACCGCCACCGCTCTGCTTCGAGAGGTGGCGGCTGCTGGGAAGCAGAGGAGTTGAGAGCGGTGGTGGTCAATGCAGAAGGGTTGGGGGCCTTGAGCAGCAGGGCGGCGACAGCAGCACACATGAAGTCCTGTGATTGGTGGGAGGGGAGGAGGAGGAAGAACAAAGGAGAGAGGGGAGAGAAGAGAGGAGAGGAGAGGAGGGAACAGAGAGGGAAGGAGATGAAGTTGAAGTTGAAGGTCTAGGGCCACACTCTCTCCAGCTCCAGTGCTACTGGAAACAGCATCCTTCCACACATGAATGTCAGACAGCGACAGCGTTGAAACATTCAACAGCCCATGTTGACCTGAACTGACTTGGGTTGACTCACACTGAGGTCGGTCAGTGCCTGCTGCATCCTGAGGCTTTAGTCCTTCACCACGTGGTGCTTCGCAAGTCGCATTGACCTGCGCTGACTCACATTGACTTGCGTTGACCTGTGACATGCACTCACACTGAGGTCTGTGAGCGCCTGGTGCATGCGCAGGCTGTAGTCCTTCACCACGTGGTGCTTCGCCGTGCCTGTGATGCCGTCGTGGTGCTGAAACAGCGCCAGGTTGCGCCGTGCTAGCACCAGTCGCTCTGCAAAGCTGGAAGCATGGGGAGGGGGAGGAGGGATGGGAAGGGGTGGGGTGGAGTGGGGACGCATGTTAGAGCGCCTGACACGTCCCCAGTGATGCCGTCGTGGTGCTGACATGGTGCCAGGTTGTGCCGCGCCAAGACCCAAGCGCTCTGCGAAGCTCAATGGAGGGAAGGAGAAGGGTGCGGAGGGGATGGGGAGGAAGGGTGGTTGGAGGTTGTGTTTGTGCTCAGCCGCCCTGATTTTTGAGGCACCTCAAAAAAGGTGGTGAGACCCCTCTCAGGGCGCAGTGAGGCGAGGCTCAACCGCCCCGATACTCGCCTCCAGCACTTGCTGTGTCACTCTCACATGTGCTGAATGAACCCACTCTAGTGGGGAGGCCGATATTTTGTTTGAGGTTGATTTTGAGAATTCTCAAAATCAACCTCAAACAAAATGCTGTGTCACTCTCACATGTGCTGAACCCACTCTAGTGGGGAGGCCGATATTTGAGTCGACTCAAAAATCGACTTACTAAACCCACTCTAGGGGGAAGGGCAGGGCAGGTCCGTGGGGATCTTCACAGCCGGCTTCACCTCTTAGACTCTCTCCATCCTGCCAGTCCGCCCAGCAGAGCGCGTACCGCATGTCAGCTCCGGTAGCAACAACGGAGAAAGCTCAATCACCTGCCCCGACCCACCAGCCCCCCAGATCCACCTGCCCCCCAGATCCACCTGCCCCCCAGATCCACCTGCCCCAGACTCACTTGAGGGGAAACGACAGCAGATCCTTGGCTCTCAAACTTCGGCCTCAGTCCCCCTCCCATTCGCCTCGTCCTGCCCTGTCCGCCCAGCAGAGCGCATAGAGCATGTCAGCCGCCCTGAGACTCGCCTCCAGCACTCACTCACTGTATCCCCTCTCTCACCCCCGCCGAACTCACTTGAGGGGGAAGGGCAGGTCCTTGGGCTCTCTGTCGCTCTGCAGGTCCTTGCTCCCACCGTGACCGCCATCCACCCAGTCCGCCCAGCACAGCGCGTACAGCATGTCAGCGGCCCTCATATTCGCCTCCAGTGCTCGGTCCACGGCCTTCCAGAAGGGGCGCGAGGAGAAATAGCCGCTCCAGTAGTCGTGATCGCGATCCGCATACGTGAAGAAATCCCCCGACAGAGACAGCAGCAGCGGGCGGACCTCGCCAGTGCTGCTGCTGGTGGTCGGGGGGGTGGCCGTGGATGTTCTGAGCTTTAGGGAAGCGCTGGTGGAAGTGGCTGGTTTTAAGTAGGGATCTCTATTAGCTAAGAGCCGGCGGCGCTGAATCTCCTCCTGGTGTTGGTTCTCCTGGCTGTCTGATAGGGAGTTCTGATCTAATGAGTCTGGGTCGTCTGGGTTGAGCCACGGCTGTAGAGTCGTCTCACTGGTGTTCAGCCCAGCCCGGAGCTGGCTTGCTCTCTGGCGGGAAGCTCTCTGGTGGGAGGTTCTCTGGCGGGCGGAGGCGGCGCGCATGGCGGTGAAGTACTCGTCGAGCGTGCCGAAGCTGGCGTTGACTCGGAGCGACTTTCGTGAGTTGATGAAGGCGAAGAGCAGCTCGTAGTTTTGGAACTGGGCTTGGGCCTCGAGCATGGAGGAATAGCGAAAGTCGTCGCCCAGAGGGACCAGCAGCACGCTGGTGCGGAAGAGAAGAGACTTCTTGCGCCACTGGTGATGGGGAGAGGGGCAGAGGGAAGAGAGGCAAGGGGAAGCGGGCAGGGGAGGAGCAGGACGGGGGAACAGTGGGAACAGTGGGAACAGTGGGAACAGCAAGAACAGTGGGAACAGCGAGAACAGTGGGAACAGCGAGAACAGTGGGAACAGCGAGAACAGTGGGAACAGCGAGAACAGTGGGAACAGCGAGAACAGTGGGAACAGCGAGAACAGCGAAGGTGGGAGGGAGGAACAGGGCTTTCTTGAGTTGATGAAGGCGAAGAGCCGCTCGTAGCCTCGTGATGCGCTCATGAGGAACTGGGCGTGGGCCTCGCCTCGTGTTTTGAGACGTCTCAAAACAACACTTTTATCACTGCGCGTGGGCCTCGCCTCGTGCATGGAGGAGCAGCGAAAGTCATCCCCCAGAGGGACCAGCAGGATGTTGGTGCGGAAGAGAAGGGATGACTTTCGCTATTCCTCCATGCACGAGGCGAGGCCCACCCCCAGAGGGACCAGCAGGATTTTTTGCGCCACTGTGAAGGGGGAGAGGGGCAGGGGAGGAGCATCGTGGGGAAGAGCAGGAAGGAGAGGAACAGCAAGCAAGCACAAATGCGTCTCCTCAATTAACACTGAAATGGGGTAATTGGAAAATTTGTTGGCCAGGAAAAGCCAATTCGCTTGTTCGCCACGTCTATTCCCCCCCCCCACCCCCCCCAAGTCAATCACCTGCCACAATCCCGTCCCACCTTATTAGAAACGCCTCGGAACCCATCTGGCCCACCTACCGCCCCATCCCACCCCACCTGGTCCACCAGCAGCTGTGCGCACTGAGCGATGTTCTTCCTGGTGATGGGCATGGGCATGGAGTCCTGCCTGGCCCCCCACCTTGCCCCACCTACCCACTAATCCTATCCCCCAACTCATCCCATCCCACCTGGTCCACCAGCAGCTGTGCGCGCTGAGCGATGTTCTTCCTGGTGATGGGCATGGAGTCCTGCCCCCACGGGCACCAGTCCTGCGTGCCTGTGCGACGCAGAAAGTCAAACTGCCAGAGGGGACACACAGGTGAGGGAGGGAGAGAGATTGAGAAGCTTAGTGGAATGAAATTGCGTATACTGTGCTTGTTTCTGGTGATGGGCATGGAGTCCTGCCCCCATGGGCACCAGTCCTGCGTGCCTGTGCGACGCAGAAAGTCAAACTGCCAGCACAGATTGGGATGAGAGAGACAGGTCATGCATGCATGCAGCACATTCAATATGAAGGGCCATTCGAGAGAGGTACTGCGAGATAAAGATGAACAGAAGCTGCCACATGAACCAAAGATGCAAGAAAAAAGGCACGAGATGAAAGAAACCAGCCAAGTGAAACAGCGGCGTGTGTGTGTGCTATAGAGAGGCATGCAGTGACTTTTGAGTCGACTCAAAAGTCACTTTGTGTGCAACAGAGAGGCGCGCACCTGGCAGCACACACCCGGATTGGGTCCACAGGTGTGCGGTATGTCGTACGAGTAGAACGGCATCATGTGACACAGAATATCCGTGCTGCCCTCTTCCTTCCCCCCTGCCGCTGCTGTCTCTCCTGAAACCGCCTCTGCCGCTGCCGCCGCCGTTCCTGGTGCTGCTGCTCCCGCTGCTCCTGCACGTGGCTTCCCTTCTGCACGTGGCTTCCCTTCCGCACCTCCCCCCTGCTGCTCGTCTGACCTGGGTTGTCCTTGCAAAAGGTCCTCTCCCATTGTACCCTCTGACTGGCCCATGGCACCCCCCGACTGGTCCCATGCTTGGCGCCAGAAAAATTCCAGATGCTTCTGCCTCGCCAGGGCCTTTTTCACCTCGTAATGCGTGCGCTGAATCAGCATGTTGTCGAATCCAGACCTGACTGACACAAACGGGGATTAGAAGGGGCGGAACAAGTGGATTCGGGAGGTGTCTTTTTCACCTTGTAGTGCGTGCGCTGAATGAGAATGTTGGCGATTCCGGATCTGGTTTAAACGGGGATAAGCAGGGTCAGTCAGCACAAATGTACGAGTTACAGCCGATTTGACTTCTTGATACGAGCAGCACTACGGAGGTTCGGCACAGGACAGGGGAGGTTCGGAGCAGCTAAAGGGAGGTTCGGAGGCCCACCGCTTCAAAAGGTATGGCATGGTGGCAGAATGGCCAAGAGGGTCGATCGCCCAGCTGTTGGTGTGTGTGTGTCACTGCGAGTATGTCGTACATACAGACCAGCCCAGTTACCCAACAACACTACCAATGCCACTGAAGGGCCCCACCCCACCCACCTCTTTAGGAGGTATGGCATGGTGGCGGAATGGCCAAAGGGGTCAATGGCCCAGCTGTTGGTGGGAGACACTCCGAGCGTGTCGTACAGCCACGTGTTGCCCTCCGTGAGCTGGTGGGAGGGGAGAGGGGGGAGGGGGGAGGGGGGAAGGGGGAGAAAGAGGGGACTTTTGAGGTGCCTCACTAGCTGTTGGTGGGAGTCACTCTGAGCGTGTCGTACAGCCATGTGTTGCCCTCCGTGAGCTGGTGGGAGGTGGAGGAGGGGGGTTGTGAAGAGGGGGGAAGAAAGGGAGGACTTTTGTGACGCCTCACTAGCTGTTGGTGGGCGTCACTCTGAGCGTGTCGTACAGCCATGTGTTGCCCTCCGTGAGCTGGGGGGAGGGGGAGGAAGGAGGGAGGGGAGGGGGGGGCGTGGAGGAGGGAAGAGGGGAGGGGGAGCGGAGGAAAAAGAGAAAGTATTCATTTCAGTATGTTTACTCCTCTGACAAAAAAACAATGTAAGGTAAGGGGATGGTGGATGTGGGGAGCGCGATGGGTAGGTTCACTTGGGAAAGCCTGACAGGTGAATGCAATGCTGTGCCTCTTGCGTTCACTTTACGGTGGCCTGAACCTCAAGCCGGGCTCGCTCACCTGTTCTATAATAGCGTAAGGAAATATGGATTCGAGCCGCAGCAAGCGTAGGGTCTCCTCGAAATATTTCCTTGCACCTGTTCTATAATAGCGTAGTAGTGAGAATTGGTGATTTTTCAGTCGACTCAAAAGTCACCTCATTAACCTCAACCCGGGCTTGCTCACCTGTTCTATAATAGCGTAGTAGTGAGAATTGGCCTGCAATGGAAACGAGCAAACGGGGTGGGGAAGAAGGAGGGATTGTATTTTTGAAGGGGAAGGGGGATAACAAGGACATAGCAATGGAAATTGGATTGGACTTGCTGAAAAAGTAGACATGTCTTACAAGCTACAGCATCTTTACCAAGCAGGACTGACCGGCTACTGCCCGGCTACTGCCCGGCTACTGCCCGGCTACTGCCCGGCTACTGCCTATCCCTCACTCCCACAGCTCACCTCGTCGTTCATCACCCACCCACGCTCACTCCACAATCTCAGCTGATTCTGTTTTTTGAGAAAATACTAAAAAAACAGATTCAGCATGACCCACGCTCACCCCACGATCTGCAGCTGCCCCGACTGCACCAGCACCCTCATTTCACCCCAAAAGCACTGCTGCTCTCAGGTCCCTTAGCCCCTTTCCGCACACCACTCACCCCCCCTCCCCCACAGCTCACCTCGTCTTTCATCACCCACCCGCCCCCACAATCTCCAGCTGTCCTGACTGCACGAGCGCCCTCACTCAAGTTTGCAAATCCTTCAATCGATTGCTATACTATCCCTTCCCCCCATCATCCCACTCACTTCATCGTTCATCACCCACCCGCCCCCCACTATCTCCAGCTGCCCCGACTGCACCAGCGCCCTCAAGCACTCTTTTCAAGCCCTGCCTGTCATTTCATGCAGCGATCCCTTCCCCTTCCCCCCATCTCACCTCATCGTTCATCACCCACCCTCCCCCGACTATCTCCAGCTGCCCCGACTGCACCAGCGCCCTCATCCCCTCCCTCTCCTCCTGTGTGGCGTCCATCCACCAACGGCTCAGATACGACATCTCCTCCCAGATAAAGCGGCGCGAGGGGGACTGGAGGGATACGGAAGGGTTTGGAAGGGGTTGGAAGGGGTTAAGTTACGGTTACAAGGAAGGACATGAGTGAAGCACGAGCGCCCGCATCCCCCGCCTCTCCTCCTGTGTGGCGTCCACCCACCAGCGGCTCATATACGACATCTCCTACCAGATGAAGCGCCGCGAGGGGGACTGGTGGAGAGGCAAGGGGTTGGTAATGGGTTCAGGCAGGGTCCGGATAAAGATATCAAGGCAGAGCCGTGCTGTGCTGTGCTGTGCTGTGCTGTGCTGTGCTGTGCTGTGCTGTGCTGTGCTGTGCTGTGCTGTGCGCTGCGCTGTGCTGTTATCAGCAGGGAGGAATGAGAGTGATTGAATCCAGCAAAGAGCGTGATGTGAGCAGCAAAGAGCGTGATGTGAGCAGCAAAGAGCGTGTAGCAAAGAGCGTGATGTGAGCAGCAAAGAGCGGAAGGGACGTTGGAAAGAGAGAGAAGGATGATGTGTGCAGGATGTGCTGCGAGCAGCCAGGCAAGGCCGCCTTTGTGGGAGTGTTGGTTGTCATGTCATGTAATGCTACTCAAGAAGAGAGCAAAAAACAGGCGGTGGTGGAGCAGAGGGAATGGTGAGAGGGAGTGGAGAGGTGAGAAAGAGAGCGAAGGATGGTGTGCAGGATGTGCTGCGAGCTCCTGGCATAGCAGGGAGAATTGAGAAGGGAGTGGCCTGAAACGAGAAAGTAGGGGGAGTGACCTCGGAAAGAGAGCGAAGGATGGTGTGCAGGATGTGCTGTGAGCTCCTGGCGTAGTACTGCTCCACTGTCAGCAGCCAACCGGGGTCGTTGTGGGAGTGTGGTACTGTGCGGTGCTGTGTGGTATTGCTACGAACGACCAGGTAAATTTGAGAAGGGAGTGGCCTGAAAAGAGAAAGCAGGGGGTGTGACCTCGGAAAGAGAGCGCAGGATGGTGTGCAGGATGTGCTGTGAGCTCCTGGCGTAGTACTGCTCCACTGTCAGCAGCCAACCGGGGTCGTTGTGGGAGTGCGGCACCACAAACACCCTCAATGGCTCCTCGTCCCACTCATCCCCCTTGTACTGCAGCTTCCACCCCTGGGCGAGGGGCGATAATGGGGATGTGGGGATGCGAGGATGCGGGGGTTGAAGGGTTTGAGGAGGGTGGGGAAGGGAGTGAAGTGCGGCACCACAAACACCCTCAGAGGTGACTTTTGAGTCGACTCAAAAGTCACCTCGTTTTGAGTCGACTCAAAAGTCACCTCGTTTTGAGTCGACTCAAAAGGGAGTGAAGTGCGGCACCACAAACACCCTCAGAGGCTCCTCGTCCCACTCATCCCCCTTGTATTGTAGCTTGGGCGAGGGGTGAGGGGAGAAAGCAAGGGAGGAGTGGGGATAAGATAAGGAGGAGTAGGGGAGTGCGGCACCACACACGAACAACCTCAGCGGCTCCTCGTCCCACTCGTCCCCCTTGTATTGCAGCTTCCACCCCTGAGGGATGGGCCGAACAAGGAGGGACGAGGGGCGGTTAGGAGGAAGATGGGAGTGCGGCACCTCGCACAAACACCCTCAGCGACTCCTCGCCCACTTGTAGCCCTTGTCTTGTACTGCAGCTTCCACCCCTGATGGATGGAGGTGATGGGGATGCTGGGAGAGCTGGGAGGGATGAGGCGGAGCATAAGTGGGCTGAAGGACTTTTTCTTACATCCCACCCTTACCAGTTGCAACCCTCACCAGTCGCCACCCTCACCTGAGTCCACTTCCCGCCCTTCTCGTTGGAAAACTTGATGCCATCGTAAACCCGCTTCATGTTGATGTCTGTTGTCGCCTCTGCCTCTCCTCCCCCCACTCCACCCCCCACTCCACCCCCCACTCCCCCTTCCCCTGCATCCCATCTAGCCTCCCCTTCCCAGTCTGCGTCCCCTCCTCCTGCTTTCGCCACTCTCCGCCCACTGCTCTCCAGTATAAGCGCACGGAACCCTCTAGAAGCTTGCTCGATACTGTCTCCTGGGGGCGGGATCAGCGTGGAGTGGGAAGAAAGGAGGAAGGATACAAGGATATAGCGCAAAAACTACATACGCGTAAAGAACAGGCTTCGCTGCAGGTTATTATGGAACAAGTGGCACCATCAGCACCTTCACCTCACCTTTGTGTCCTCTAAATCTGTGACCTCTCCTCACCGAACCTCACCGCACTTCACTCGCACCACACCTCACCGCACCTCACCGCACCTCACTCGCACCACACCTTACCGCACCTCACCGCACATCCTCAGCCTGGCTGTCATGCTTCACGGATTATAATTCACCTGAGATCTGGGCCGACTGAGTAGCACAGCACATCCATGCACTGGATGCTAAATTCTATGGGGTTCCGTTGACAACATTACGTCTTGTTCCTGTGTGATGCAAACTCCGCTAAATTTGAGGCGTAAGTTAGTTCAGTCACTTTCAAGAATTCGTGAATGAGATTCACTCACGCATACCATTCAAACTTCTGAGAATTCTTACAAGCGATTCGCGCATTTCAATGGCACGAACCGTGCAGGTGGAAGAGCAGCACGTTAAGAGCGGCGACGGCAAGCACGCACACGAGGCACTGCCGCGTCGTCCACGGGTAGCGACTCATCGCCGAAGCGCGGCGTCTAAGCGACGAGCCCGGGGCCGGTTCCCCCCTGGCCATCATGCAGCGAAGGAGAAACCTGCCAGATTCCTAGGCGCGGCAATAGCGGCAATAGCAACGCCGTGGCGTTCGCGTTTGAGAGATCTCGGAAGGTTTCTAGCCTCCGCGAATAGCAATGCCGAATTCGACGCAGAAATTAGCAGCGAGACGCCATCGCCGGCCGCCGTGTGAGCGAGGAGCCCCGGGCTGGTCCCCTGCTGCTCATTGTGCAAGGATGAATCAACGATGGGGAATGGAGTTTGCTTGGCGAGCGAGCGGTATATCGTTGATGTTATTAGCGAGCTCGATAAGATAAGGTAGCCGTTTTGCATCTTATTGATAATGTTTGAAGGTGTCCCACATTCTAGATTGGAAAAGATGCATAGTCACAGACCCACTTCCACTACAAATAACACTAGGCACTTTCAAATCTCCAGTGCTTGATGCAGCGTATTGATTAGGTTTACAAGCATGTTACAGCATTGTTATTTTGCTTCTATCTTCAAAAAAACATGCGCATTGCTTTATATTTCCATAATTTTATTTTTGAAATTAACAAATCGAGTAATTTTTTCAAATACAGCTGTATAATTATCTCTATTCTCTTATAACCATCATGTATGCAAACTTCAATAAAAGCTTCACTGCGAATGAATACACTACAAACATTGTCCGAACATCCTTCGAATGTGTCAGCTGCGTAGGTGATTTGACGTCATCCCAGTTACCTACTCATTTCTTAGAAGCAGCGCGGCCTATTTCAATTCGTCGAAGCAGTGGCGAAATTAAATTCCTCGAAGCAGCGCAGCCTATTAGTGCTGCCCGCCCGTAATAGCGGCGTGCGGTGTAGTTCACCCACGACGACGAAGCGTACCTACCTAGCGATTCGAGATGCGCGCTGTCGAACGTCGCTGTCGTACTGGACTGTACGTTTGCGACTGTACGTCGTGGTGCGGTGACAAAAATTAGGTTCTCGGCGCTGCTATACTACTGTTCAGCATCTTATGCGATACATGGTTGCATGAGTTGACTTTTGAGCGACTAGAAAATCAGCTCGTGCAGGATGCATCCTGTCGAAGCAGTGACTCTTATCCACACGTTTTTCCCGGACTCTCCCATCAACTGCTCATGATGCATCTGCCGGCTTTCAACGGTTCGACCCGAAAGTCAACCTCGTGCAGGGAAAGCCTTTCTGATTTACACGTTCTCCCACGCTCCTGATGCTCCTGCCAGCTCTCACAGGTTTGACTTTCACAGGCAGTGTGACACACTCGCGAATCCTATAAACGTTAGAAGCTATGGGAAACCAAATCAATGACTCCTTTTATTTACTGCTCTTGCCGAAAGCCAAGCTGACCAAGTGGTACTATTGCTGGGGGAACGCCGTTCTGCTTTGGCGAAAGCTAGTAGGGTTCGCTGCCATACTACGCCGGTATTCCCGAGACGCGAAGCATCTAAGTTGAAGTTGAAGACAGCATGGATCGCCGCGCATCATCTCTCCTCTGCCGCCTGCTGCTCTGTAAGCCCTGCAGCTCCAGCTCCCTTCGTGAGGCGCCTCACGAATAGCTGCCTGTTGCTCTGTCTGTCGCCCTCAGAGGGGGCGATGCTGCAAATCCACTTGCGGCCTGCTGCTTGCCCATTCGCATCAACATCTCACTCACTGCTATCGTCTACCATTCTGGTCAACTAACTTAATGTCTGTCATTCCTGCCTCACGCCTTAACTCGACCTGCCTGCCTGCCTGCCTGCCTTCCTTCTCTCCTTTGCAGGTGCGACGGTCTGCACTGCCTACGGCGCGCTGGCCACATCATTGCCACTCCTTTCTCACCATGGCGGTTCTTCTTCCACCGCTTCTACCTCTTCTGCCACTTCTACCTCTTCTGCCGCTTCTACCTCTTCTGCCGCTTCTACCTCTTCTGCCGCTTCTACCTCTTCTGCCGCTTCTACCTCTTCTGCCACTTCTGCCGCTTCCACCGCATTGACCTCTTCCACCGCTTCAGCCAGGCCCCTGATTTGGAAGGGGACGACATTCTGTGAGTGTCTGAACCCACAGAAGTAACGACTCACCTTGTCACGTGTAGAGAGGGTGTGTTTGAGACGCCTCAAACACACCCTCTCTACACCCGCCGCTTCGGCCAGGCCCCTGATTTGGAAGGGGGCGACATTCTGTGAGTGTCTGAACCTACGGAAGTAACGACTCACCTTTGCTGCAGCTGAAGTGGTTTCGGCATCATTCACATCCCCATCTTGCTGACCCTTTGCATTCCCATGTATGATTATGATGGCAGCTCATGTGCTTGTTGCATCTGATGCATGTGCTACACCATTCACTTCTTCTCTTTCCGATCCAATGCATACCCATGTATAACTCTATACCCATGTTAGATCAGAATCACTTTTTGCCTACCTTTTCATCTTCCCCATTCCCCCCGTTCCCGTGTCCAGTGAAATACTCCGTCAAACTGCGCCCTACCATGCTCAAGGGGAAATTAATCGGTGACGCAGGAGCTTCGGGGAAAATCGTGTACAAGGGAGTGAGGTACGCCGCCTTCTGTCCCCTCCTTCACTTGTCCCCTTTGGCGCTGACACTTGCCCTGTGAGGCCACGCTGGCCCTTGTGACTTGCGCGTCCTGCTGAGTCACAATTGTATTCGAGAGTCGTGAGAGTGGTGAGAGTGGTGAGAGTGGTGAGAGTGGTGAGAGTGGTGAGAGTGGTGAGAGTCGTGAGAGTGGTGAGAGTGGTGAGAGTCGTGAGAGTGGTGAGAGTCGTGAGAGTGGTGAGAGTGGTGAGAGTCGTGAGAGTGGTGAGAGTCGTGAGAGTGGTGAGAGTGGTGAGAGTGGTGAGAGTGGTGAGAGTGGTGAGAGTGGTGAGAGTGGTGAGAGTCGTGAGAGTGGTGAGAGTGGTGAGAGTCGTGAGAGTGGTGAGAGTGGTGAGAGTCGTGAGAGTGGTGAGAGTGGTGAGAGTCGTGAGAGTGGTGAGAGTCGTGAGAGTAATGAGTGTTGTGACAGAAGGCACTTTCCACCCCCTGGCGTTGACACGAGTTTTTTGGGCCAACGCTGGTCCTTGCCACCTTAGCGCGTCCTTAGGAGTCGCAATGGTGATATGTGAGCGTTGTGAGAGTGAACACACTTGTTCCACTGGCGCTGACACAATGACCTTAGCGCGTCCTACGGATTCACAACGACTTTTGCTATTTTAACAAGCCCTTTGGAGTCGCATTGGTAGTATTTGAGAGCTGTGAGAGGGGGCACTTGCTCCACTCGCACTGGCACAAGTTTTGTGAATTCACAAAGAGTTTTGTCACAGAACAGAGAGTTTTGTCACATAGAGTTTTGGGAGTCTTGGTCGTTGTGCCCCATCCCGTGTTTCTAGACGTCCACACCACCGTATTCTACTCCAAATTGTCAAGTTTTTATCTGAATCAAAAGGCAGTAATCCGGAGGGAGATTTCGATGTTGTGCACTGAAAGTAGGTACTCTTTGATTGCTGTCTCCGCGTGCCCTGCCCTGTTGACAGGATGTCTTCATCCACGTACCTTTTCATAACGAAGATTCTTATCTTGAACATACGAGGAGGCCCGCCCCGCTTCGGTTTCGTTAATTCCTGCGCCACAGAAGCTCCTGCACCAACATTCACCTTGGTGAACATCACGAGTGACAGCGCTGCACGGCGCAAGCGGTTCAGCTTCAAAATGTTTTCAGCAGGTCTTGGACTCAGAGTCCAATATCCGTGACACGCTGACGTTTATGGTGAAAGGTTCGCATGCAGTGGCAGGGTATCCAGGTAACAAGCGCTCGCTCTGTGGGAAGGTTGTGAAAAAGGGGAAGTAGGAGGCGTTTGGTTTGGGTGCAGGTGGAGTGCTAGGGTTCCATGTGGTGATGTGATTGCTGCAGGGTGGAGATGCATGTGGATGTGGGAATGTTTTGACCCGACCAGAAACTCGGTGCATGTGCATGTGGGCATGTCTTGACTTGACTAGAAATTCTGTGTATGTGGATGTGGGCATCTGTCCGTAATGCTGACTTGTGCCAGTAACTATTTTTTTGGCTAGAGATACAGTATGCTTACAACAAAATGAAGTGCAGATTGTATCCACAAGAATAAGAAGTGACACCTGCTGTTCTTACTCAACCAAATTAATTTCTACACATCGTGTTCCAAAAAGAAATTACTACCATTTTCCAGTGCCTGGGCCCAGCAGACCATTTACAGATGCTCTCAAATAAGGACAATTATTGAACCCGAAAGGCTTATCATCTAGCCATCAGGATACGGAACGATGAAGGTTATCTCGGAACTTTCCATTGGAGGTACAAATTTGAACCAATGCCCACAATACGGAACCGCTCCGCTAACGTCGACAAGTTGGGCGTTGACGAAATAAGGGCCCAGTTCGGCAGGCATCATGGCCATTATCGCCATTATGGGCATTTTTAACGGGCCCCCAAAAAATGGCGCCTAGGCATTTCCAGAAACAGCTTCGAAATCGGACTGTAGCTGCAGTGCACCTTCGAAAAAACGGGGGTGAGTGTTCGGTTGGCATTAATTGGGTGTAGATTGATGGCATCAATCAAAATTTTATCTTCGCAGAAGATGCTAGGGAGTTGCCCTGATGGATCCCGTGATCATGTGATTGGCTGACATATTTGACCAGTCACTTTTGATTGCCCCGAATCACTGATACCCCGCATGGTGCGGGGTCTCGAGGCCGCATGGTGCGGCAGATCAGAAAATGGGCACTTTGCCAGAGAAACTGGGTTCGTGGAAGATTCAGGCAGTTGAAAACGCCTGCGAAAAAAAGTGTGTTCGGGAGGCATTCCATTGTTGTCAGGTTCGGCGCAGACCCGCTTATATCGAGCCTTGATAACCATTCACGAGCTTATCATGGAAGGTTCCAGGGTGGTCGTTTCACTGTAGCCTACCCCCAGAGGCCATTTTTTTAATGCCTGCCGAACTGGGCCAAGATAAAATGCTTCAGTTGGGATGGGATCATGGGATGGTATTTTGTCAACGGGTGAATCGACTTGAAAGTTGTTGCCTTGGGACTTGCGCCAGTGGCGGCACGTCGCTGTCTTGAAGGCGTCGTAACTGGCGGGGTCCCTCAGGTTCAATAGTTGCTTGTTTTTCGAAAGGTCTAGCCTCAGGTTCACCATGCGAATGGTCTACTAGTAGCCAAAGGTATAGTAGCCTCAGGTTCTAGCAGTCTGCGTCCCGTCCTACTGTATCTTCCCGTCCTAAGTCGTTCAGATGACACGTAAGGGTATGAGAGCATCCGCTGCGCCTCAAACACAACCCTCGTTTTGACCCAGTGGGTACCGAGGTGTTACATTTGGTCTCAGAGCCTGGGGTTCGATTCTTGGCTGAGTCACATTTTCCGCTTGCGAGCGAGAAGTTGAATGTGCCAGTCGCGAACCCAGTGAACGATCCGCCGCTGGGCTTGGCCCACCAGCGAAGTTGAGCTCCTTGCGAGGGCCGACTCCCTGCCTAACGAGGACGTTGGCTCCAATGGGGGATGAGTGTAACGCCTGTGGGGCTTACACGTAAGGGTATGAGAGCATCCGCTGCGCCTCAAATACAACCCTCGTTTTGACCCAGTGGGTAGCGAGGTGTTACACGCCGAGTGGTTACTTGCCCTACAATCGTCCTACTGCACGAACTTCGTGTGACGTTCGTTAGTAGTCCTGTGGTACCCGCCGCTCATGCCTAATATCGTACCTCACGCTGTTCGGAAAGATGATGTGCCTTTTTGAGTCGACTCAAAAGATTATGTGCTCGGCAGGGTCCACTGGATGCTATGTGGCACAGATAGGCGAAAACATAGGCGACGCAGAACTCGTTGAGCATTTGATATCACCAGCATGGAGCGCCGCGTGTTGTCGTCCCTCCTCTGCCGCCTGCTGCACTGTAAGCCCTGCTGCTGCGACTTTCGAGTAGACTCCGACTCGGAAGTCACCGACTCCGACTTTCTAGTAGGACTCAAAAGTTACCTACTAGATTCCGAGTGGGCTGCTGCTGGCCTCGATTCCACATCGTCCCTGTCACTTCGGCTGCTGCTTAAAGTTTTAGTCGTGCTGCCTGCCTGCCTCCCTGTTTCCTCCTTTGCAGGTGCGACGGTCTGCGGCACTTGTGCCTACGCCGCGTCGCAAGCATCATCGTCGTTCCTCTCGCACCACGACGGCTCTTCCGCCGCTTCTGCCGCTGAGGCCAGGCCCCTGGTTTGGAAGGGAAGGACATTCTGTAAGTGTCTCAAACTCAAAACCAAGCCTTGCCGAAACCACAAGTAACGACTCTCTTTACGGCCAGCGGATTTTCAGTAGGGTCGCTTTCTACCTGGGCAACCCTCCCTTCTTTTATGCTGTTATTTTCTTATATTTATTCCAACTGGAGGTACTAGCAGCACTTGAAAGTGGCAGTATTACCTGCAAAGTCTCCTCGTAATATCTTCGTCAATAAACTTTGCAGCTTGTTAACGTATGACGCTTGCTGCAGCTCAAGCGTTCTCTGCAGCTGAAGCGTTTTCTGCTGCTGAACTGTTTGCCGCATCAGTCACTTCCCCTCCTTCCAGACCCCTGACATTCATGCTTATCATGATGTCAGCACATAATCATCAGCTACCAACTTTTCTGACTCCCCACTCCCTCCTGTTACCGTTTCTGATAATGCCAGCTCAAAATGAGCAGCCACCAATCTTTGTCTCTCCCCTCCCATTCCCGTTTCTAGTGAAATACTCGGTCAATCTGCGTCCTACCAAGCTCAAGGGGAAATTAATCGGTGACGCAGGAGCGTCGGGGAAACTTTTGTTCAAGGCAGTGAAGTACGCCGCTGTCCCTTCCTTCACATGTCCCCCTGGCGACGCTGACACAAGTCATGTAGAGTCACATTGACTTTTGAGGGTCTTGCGAGTTGGGTTGCATCCCATTACTTTAGACGTCCATACTTGTAACCATCGTTTGCTCTTCCGAGTCTTCAAGTGTCTGCACCGAATCAAAGGCAGTAAGGCAGTGCTTTTTGAGGAATCATCTACGCAACGCAGTGGCTGTACTGTACTCTCCATTGATAATCTTCGCTAATGATTATCCCCGATTGGCCCCATTGACAGGTACTCTTCAACATCGTACAGCCTACTCATCAAGCTACTTCTGTTGAACCTCAAAGGAGGAGACCAACCAGGCTTTGGCTACGGTCGTTCCTGCTCCACAGTACCCAACGATGCGGGAGTCCTTTTTCTAAACATCACGAAACCCAGCGCTGGCCGTCGCAAGCGATACAGCTTGGTATACCGCGATGATCGGTTTGAGAGCTCAAAGGCCAACATTCTCGCGGCTATAAATCCGATAGCAGCGTCAGCACGGGTGGTTATAGGGCGCCGAGGTAACTTGTTTGCGCTCTGTGGGAAGGTTGTGAAAACGGGGAACTGAGAAGTATTTGGTTGCAAGTTCATGCTAGTGTTTCATTCATGCTGTGATGTGATTGTTGCAGGGTGGAGATGATGCATGTGGATGTGGCCTGGGCATGTGTAGGTAACATGTTACAGTAATGTTGGATTTTTCTCCAGAAATGCTAATTGATACTTGTAATTAAGGAACCAAAGTAAAATGTG